TACTACTACTACTACTACTACTACTACTACTACTACTATTACTACTACTACTACTACTACTACTACTACTACTACTACTACTACGACGGCTATTACTACTACGAGCGCGACTACTTTTAGTACGAGTGCTATTTTGGTTACTACTACTACTATTACTACTACTACTACTACTACTACTACTGCTGCTGCTGCTGCTGCTGTTGCTACTACTACTGCGACTACGACGTCGACGCTACTACTACTACTTACTACTACTACTACTACTACTACTACTACTACTACTACTACTACTACTACTACTACTACTACTACTACTACTACTAACTACTGCTATTATTATTTCGATTACTATACTACTAACTACTACTTACTACTACTACTACTTACTACTACTACTACTACTACTACTACTACTACTACTACTACTACTACTACTACTACGACTACTAACTACTACTACTACTACTACTACTACTACTACTACGACTACTACTGCTTCTGCGACTACTACCACGACTACTACTACTACCACTACTACTACTACTACTACTACTACTACTAGTGCTATTTCTTCTACTGTCACGACTACTACTACTACTACTACAACTACTACTACTACTACTACTACTACTACTACTACTACTACTACTGCTACTACTACTACTACTACTACTGCTATTATTATTTCGATTACTAGTACTACTATTATTATTACTACTACTACTACTACTACGACTACTACTACTACTACTACTACTACTACTACTAACTACTACTACTACTACGACTACTACTACTACTACTACTACTACTACTACTACTAGTTCTACAATTGCTACGACTACACTTCCGACGTCTAGTATTATTACGATTACTCAAAAACAGTTCCGCAAGGGGTTCGAACTCGAGCCTCCATATCTATATAGATATCATAGCAAAGGGTCTCGCGACACTGATGTTCAAAAAAAGCTTGCGCGCGCGCTCTTGCGAGTTGTTACGAAGACCATCAGTGTTTCAACATGTGCATCACATGATACGAAAGGTGCTTTTCGCGCACGCATGCCGAATCTGCCCGAACGCCATTGCGCGCATGCTGTCGCGAGGTTCCGTTGCAAAAAGTAAAACGAAGTGCACGCGCGCGCATCGTCGCGCGCGCATGCCGAAGACCGTCAAAAACGTTCGGCTTCGTAACGGCTTCAAAACGTAGCGTCCAACAAACATAACAAAACATGTTTTCGCAACATCCGTTATCAAAGACAGCGTGCGCTCGCGCTCTTGCGAATTCTTCAGAACACCACAGGCTGTTCAGAATGTTCATGAGATTCTGCCAAACTGGCCACGCCGTCGTCGTTGTCAACATCGCCACCAGCATTGCTACTATCATCATCGTGTCTACCGTTGGCGACGTTGCCATGAAACCGCGCCCGCCCAAGCCGCCGACTCGCATTGAAATGCCCGCTAGGATGTGCCCAGCGGTCAGCGCCACCGCGGCCGCGTCGGTCGCGCCAAACTAGCTGGCCGCTGCGCGCACATGCTTGGGCTGGCGCGGCCGCAGAGATGCACCAGCCAACGCCAAGAATTCATCCCAATCGCCGCCGCATGGGTTTTGCAAACCAAGTTGCTGGTGGGTGGGTGGGATGTTTGCAAGAGCGTGGAATGTGTCAACTCGTTTGAAAAATCAAGTGCGCCACATAGACCGCACCAGATAATGTGCACAACAAAGGTGGCACGCCATATGTTTCACAACATAGATTCCCCTTGCTAAAAACAGAATATACTCTACCCCCCCCCGGCGTTATCCGTTCCCCTTTCGGAAATGTAAACCATATATGATTCTGACCACATGTCCATCCTAACTATGAACTTACAATGTCCCAGTGGAACCGGTATCGGTCCCCCTGAGGTTCCCTTGTAAAAAGCGATACGCGGGGACATCTGTTGTTCTAACATAACACTTGTTCGGCCATCCCTTGCAAAAACAGGAACGAAGTGCACACGCGCGCGTCGTCGCGCGCGCATGCCGAAATCCTTCAAAAGCCTTCGGTGTCGGTGGGATTTTGCAATCGGGTTCCCCCGCCCAAAAAAAACGTACAAAAACGCAGGGTTTCGCAACACTGATTTGCTGAAAAAACTCACGCGCGAGCTCTTACGAAATCTTAAGAAAACCATGGTTTTTCCAGATTTTCACAAAATGCTACCAAATGGGCTTCGCTCGCGCGCATGTCGAAATCTGTCGAACGCCGCTGCGCGTGTGCCGTCGCGAGAATCCTCTACAAAAAAAGGGACGAAGTGCAGACGCGCGAGTCGTCGCGCGCGTATGCCGAAATCCTTCAAAACCCATCGGGTCCGGAAGGATTTCAAAGTCGTGTGTCCAAAAAGCTTACGTACAAAAACACAAGGTTTCGCAACACGGATTTTCAACAAAAGCGTGCGCGCGCGCTCTTGCGTCGTCGTCGTCGTCGTCGCCGTCCTCCCTCCTCCCGCGTCGTCGTCGTCGCCTACGTCGTCCTCTGTCTTTCCTCGTGTTCGTCGTCGTCGTCCTCTTTGGCGTCGTGGTCGTTTCCGTCGTCGTTGTCGCCGTGGTCGTCCTTCCTCCTCCTCTCTCGTCGTCGTCGTCGTCCGTCGTCGGCGTCTCGTCGTCGTCCCTCCTATTTCGTCGCCGTCGTCGTCGTCGTCGTTGTCGTCGTCGTCTTCCCTCCTCCCTCGTCGTTGTCGTCGTCGGCGTCGCCGTCTTTCCTCCTTCTTCGTCGTTCGCGTCGTCGCCGTCCTCCCTCCTCCCTCGTCGTTGTCGTCGTTGTCGCCGTTGTCGCCGTCGTCGTCCTCCCTCCTCCCTCGTCGTCGTCTTCGTTGGCGAGGTCGTCGTCGTCTTCGTCGTCGTCGGCGTCGGCGTCGTCGTCTTCGTCGTCGTCGACGTCTGCGTCGTCGTCGTCGCCGCCGTCGTCGTCGTCGTCGTCGTCGTCGTCGGCGTCGTTGACGTCGTCGTCGTCGTCGGCGTCGTCGTTGTCTTCGTCGTCGGCGTCGTCATCGTCGTCGTCGTTGTCATCGTCGTCGTCGTCGTCGGCGTCGTCGTCGTCGTCTTCGTCGTCGTCGTCGTTGTCGGCGTCGTCGAAGTCGTTGGAGACGTCGTCGGTGTGTCGTCGTCGGTGTCGTCGACGGCGTGATCAACATCTGCGCCCGCACTGGCCGCGCCGTCGTCGTTGCCAACATCGTCACCAACATCGCTACGATCATCATCGTGTCTAACGTTGTCGACGTTGCCATGATACCGCGCCGACTCGCAGTGCCAGCTGGGATGTGCCCAGCAGTCAGCGCCACCGCGGCCTCGTCGGTCGCGCCAAACTAGCTGGCCGCTGCGCGCGCGCGCTTGGGTTGGCGCGGCCGCAGAGATGGGCCAGCTAACTCCAAACACTCATCGCAATCGTCTCCACATGGGTTTTGCAAGCCAAGTTGCGGGTGGGTGGGTGGGATGTTTGCAAGAGCGTGGGATGTGTCAACTCGTTTGTTAAAACCAGTTGCACCATAGATTGCACCGCCTAGATTGCTCCACATGGATCGCTCAACCTATTTTGCACCACATAGGTCGCACCACTTTTATTGCGAACCATGCATTGCACAACATAGATTGCACAACATCGATTGCACCACATCTGGTGCACAACACGTATTGCTAGGAGCACACTGTGTTGGGCCCTTGTATTCCGGTGGCCGCTTCTGATTAGTTTCATGAAGTGCGAGCCCATAAGGAGCAGGTTTCCGCTCGACATGTCCTCGAAATTGGCTCACTGAGGAGGCTCCCGCTCGATACTTCCTCGCCATTCAGGCACGGACATGCCCCTCGCCCGAGACCTTTTCAATACGTACGCATTGGTGCGTGAACGCGCAAGTGTGTGAGTCTGCATGCGTGTACTGACGATGGTGGGGACGGTGATGGTGATGATGATGATGTTAAAATTGTGTGTGAATGTGATGAAGCTGGTGATCGCGATTATTCCCCAACCAGTGCTTGCACTGAAGGGGTCCCGGCGGAAGTTGAAAGATTTGGCGAAAGTTTCCCGCCGATTTTGGTAGCAGGCTGGGTTCCCGGGTTCCCTGTTCCCGGGGTAAGATTTGGCGAAAGTTTCCCGCCGATATTGGTAGCCGGCTGGGTTTCTTGTTCCAGGTCCTTGGGTTCCTGGTTATTGGTTCCGGGCCTCGGTGGGTTCCAGATTCCCGGGTTCCTGGGTTCCCGGTCGATATCTTGATCGATCTTTCAATTGATCCCACGATTCATTATCGATCTCATGATCGATTTCACGATTCATCTCACCCAATCGATCTCACCATCGATCTCATCAAACCATCCGCTGATTGGGGTTTCTCTCTGGTATAATGAGGATAATATGTGTGAGTTTGTGAGAGATGAGGATTGGTGATGGTTATGGTAATGGTGGTGATGAGGATTGCGGAAAAGAGAGAGGAGAGGTGAGTAGAACGGGATCCTGCGCGGGGCGCCTGGAAATAAAAGAACCGAACCGATTTTAATTATCATACGAATGCGGCTGCGAATGCAAACACTAACGGGAGACCACCGGAGGCCACGACGGCCCACCGATTTCGAATCCAGAAACCCACTTATTAGTTTCTGAGAACACGATATTTGGAATGTGTACAGACAAGTTGCGTAGGGAAACCCCAGGGCCAAGAAGCAAGCAGCAGCAAGAAGGCGCAGCAAGCAGCTGCTCGCACCAGCAAGCTGGCAATAGCAGCAGAAGCTCCAAACAGCAGCGACTATCTGCATGCAGAAACAGCAGCAGGCGGCGGAAAGCGGCAGCAAGCGGACGAACGAGCGATGAAACAAGCAAGCAGGTGAACATGGTACCAAGCACGCCAGCCAGCATGCAAGCAACGACGTCGTGAAGACATATGTTTGGCCCGCAGGTTAGCAGTCACGCGCGTAAAACAGCACGCAAGCAGGCGAGCGACCTTGATCCTGCATGCGAGCCAACTGTCGTGGTCGTAAGTCCACGGATCAGCCCTAGTCAGCTACAACGCTGGGATCAGCGCGTGCGCAAAAGGCGGGGAGTGGCAGTTGGCTATGTCGTTGCTCGGCGAAATGTGGGATGCGGGGTTGACGCCCGAGGTAATCAGCTACAGCTCTGGAATACACGCGTGCGCAGAAGGCGGGCAGTGGCAGCAGGTGTTGCTTTTACTCGGCGAGATGCGGAGGGCGAGGCTCGAGCCCAACTCCATCTCTTCTCTATGGCAGACGGAAGCGCGTGCGAAAAGGTCGTGCACTTTGCCCTCCCTGGAGAGCCATTTTTCGACACCCCTCACACAGATCCTGCCCCCCGAGCTTCACAAATCGAGCCTTCCCCCCAAAGACGCGCCGAAGTGGCCATCAGAGTCTCCAAGGAGCGTCCAAGAGGCCCCATCAAGGCCCCCAACAAGAGCCAAGAGGCCACCTAGAGGACCCCACCAAGGCTCTAGAGGCCTCCAATAGCCTCCAACAGTGCTCCGAAGCATGTCCCCAGAGGCCAAAATCCTGCATGTTCCATTGCTTTTGAAGGAGTTTTGCCTTCTCGCCATCTCGGCTAGCCGACGCTCCAAGACGGCCGCAGAGACCCACAAGACCGCCCCAGGACGGTCCAACAGGCCTCCAAGCGCGCCCCCAGACGGCCCAGGGAGCCCCCAGATGGCCCAAGAGGCGCCCGAGACGGCCCCGGAGGACCCCAAGCCAGGCCCAACAGGGGGCCAAAGCACAGGGAAAAACATTGACACTTCGAGTCCTGGGCTCCCATACGCCCAGACAAGGCCCCAAGGCCCCCAAGAGGCCGCCAAGAGCCTCCAACAGTACCCCGATGCATGCCCCACAAGCCAAAATCCTTCCTTCCTCCATGGTTTTGGAAGGGATTTTGCCTTCTCGTCTTCTCGGCTAGCCGACGCTCCAAGACGGCCGGAGACACCCACAAGACCGCCCCAGGACGGCCCGACAGGCCAGCGCGCCCCCAGACGGCCCAGGGAGTCCCAAGATGGCCCAAGAGGCGCACAAGCCGGCCCCAGAGGACCCCAAGCCAGGCCCAAGAGGTGGGCCAAAGAACGGGGGAAAACCCTGACATTCCGAGCCTTGGGCCCCCATACGCCCAAACAAGGCCCCAAGACCCCCCCAAGGGAACGCCAAGAGGTACCCAGAGGCCCCAACGAAGGCCAAAGCAAGGCCCACGAGGCCGCAAGACGGCCCCCAAGTGGCCCCATAAGAGGCTCCACGGAGCGTCCAAGGGGCCCCCTAGAGGTCCCCAACAAGGCCCAAGAGGTCTCCAAGAGCCTTCACCTCCGAAGCATGCCCCCAGAGGCCAACATCCTTGATTGTTCAATGGTATTCCAATCAGTTTTGCCTTCTCGCCTTCTCGGCTAGCCGACGCTCCAAGACGGCCGCAGAGACCCACAAGACCGCCCCAGGACGGTCCAACAGGCCTCCAAGCGCGTCCCCAGACGGCCCAGGGAGCCCCAGCGCATGTGGATAAATGCGCCCCCAGCCTCCAACAGTCATCCGAGCATGCCCCCAGAGGCCAACATCGTAAATGTTTCAATGGTTGTTGAAGGAGTTTTGCCTTCTCGCCATCTCGGCTAGCCGACGCTCCAAGACGGCCGCAGAGACCCACAAGACCGCCCCAGGACGGCCCAACAGGCCTCAAAGCGCGTCCCCAGACGGCCCAGGGAGCCCCAGCGCATGTGGATAAATGCGCCCCCTGGGGGGCAATTTTTCGACACCCCTCACGCAGATGCTGGCCCCCGAGCGTCACAAATCGAGCCCTCCGCCCAAAGACGCGCCGAAGTGGCCATAAGAGGCTCCGAGGAGCGTCCAAGAGGCCCCCTAGAGACCCCTAACAAGGCCCAAGAGGTTTCCAAGAGCCTCCAAGAGTCATCCGAAGCATGCCCTAAGAGGCCAAAATCATGAATTGTTCAATGGTTGTTGAAGGAGTTTTGCCTTCTCGCCATCTCGGCTAGCCGACGCTCCAAGACGGCCGCAGAGACCCACAAGACCGCCCCAGGACGGTCCAACAGGCCTCCAAGCGCGTCCCCAGACAGCCCAGGGAGCCCCAGCGCATGTGGATAAATGCGCCCCCTGGGGGGCCATTTTTCGACACCCCTCACGCAGATGCTGGCCCCCGAGCGTCACAAATCGAGCCCTCCGCCCAAAGACGCGCCGAAGTGGCCAAAGGAGGCTCCAACGAGCGTCTTAGAGGCCCCCTAGAGGCCCCCAGCAAGGCCCAAGAGGCCTCCAAGAGCCTCCAACAGTCATCCGAGCATGCAGCATGCCCCCAGAGGCCAACATCGTCAATTCTAGACGCTTCGCGTATCCCCACCAGACGCTAAGACGCGTCTCCTTGAATGTAGTTCATTTTGTTCTGTGCGCGTGCAACTGCGAGCATGCTTGCAGGTGCGGTCGGCTGCCGACAGTGACGGCTGGATTCGCACATTATCTCGCTCTGTGCCCCAGACGACCTGATTGACCCGCCCTCTGGAGCCGTCCTTTGGGCCGCAGATCAAAAAGTATCCCCACCAGCCCGTCCAGAAATGAGCCCCAGGGGAGTGGAGGTGATGAGGGAAGCCGGGGAGCATGCAGAAGAACAAAGGGCGGGTAAGCCGCCATATGCCCCAAGCGGGGGAGGATGTAGGAGGAGTCGTCGTCGTCGGAGTAGGAGGAGGAAGAGGAGGAGCAGGAGGAGGAGCAGGAGGAGGAGAGGAGATGGAGGAAGGCGAGGACGAGGAGGACGAGGAGGAGAATGAGAAAGAGATGGAGGAGGGCGAGGACGAGGAGGAGGAGGAGGAGGAGGAAGAGGAGGAGGAGAGGCGTTTTGGCTGAGGAGGTGCCCTGGGGATTCGGGCGCCCCACACCAGCTGAGACCCGCGCGTGGCCGCGGCACGCGATCGGAGGACAGCACGCATCCGCGCTCGCGCAGCCGCGAGCCCGGTTGGCACAGACGACGACGCCGTCATCGCGGAGTCGCACGTATCATCGTGCGCCTGGCAGCTGCCAGAGGGCTGCTGGCGCAGCACCACAGTGCGCAGAGACGACCACCACAAGAAGAAATCATGGCCAGCAGGGCCCCAGGGTGGACATGCGCATGCGGATTGCATCTTGCAGGATGGGCCTGGTCATGTTCGTCGTGTGGCGGATCGTTCAATCAGAGGCGCAGGCCCAGCAGGAGCTCCTCCCGCAAGCGTGGCCAGAGTGCGCACAAGGATGTCTCCGCCAAGGCCCGTCCTGGCAGCAGGCCGCGACGTCATCGCCACGAGGGATCATCAGATGGACACAATCACGACCATGGTATAGAGAAGTTGGCACGCAAATTGGTCGAAAGAGTGGTCCCTTCGTTGAAACAGTATGCGGAGGCTCATCCAGCGTGGGCGGAGTGGACGCCTCCGACGGATCACAAGCAGCACAATCAGTTTCGAGACCGTGTTCGCACTCGCCTGCTGGTCCTCGCGCGCCTAGCGGCGCAGGCAGCACGAGCCCGCAAACCAGACGAAGAACTCAAAGAGGAGATGGCGATGCTCAAGTACGCGGTGGACCAGTTGAAGCCTCTCAGCGCAGTCAAAGCAGAGCACGTGGCACGCCTGGCCACAACGTTGGAAGATTTGAGGAACACCAAACCTCGCATCGTGCTGCTAGAGTCTCAGGCGGACGAGATAAGCTACGACATCGACGACACAAGGAAGGCGATCGCAGAAATGGAGAGCGGAATCGCAGAGGAGTTGGCGGACATGTTCCCCCAGCCAGGGGAAACACATGGCATGGCAGTGGACCCGCCACCGCGCAACAATGCGAACACCTCAGCAGCAGTCAGCACCGACACCAGCAAACAGCTTGCGGAGCTCCAGGCGCTCAACAGGCAAAGCGCCACAGCTTATTCGCAGTTGCAGTACCAGAACCAGCAGATGATGTACCAGATGCAGCAGATGCAGATGCAGATGCAGGCCTCGGGCATGGCGCACCCCCCAGCGGGACCCTTCCCGACGCCTGCGCCGCAGCAGAGGCCTCCGGTGCCAGGGTCTCCACCACCCTCGCCCGCGGCGGGGTTTCCCCTGCCGCCGCGGCCCCCACTGCAGGGGCATGCGACGATGGCGGCGCCAGCGGCGGCGCCAGAGGTTCCACAGAGAGTGCTCAGCCCGAGATCGGCAGCGGCAGCAATTGGATTGGCAGATGTGGAGAAGGCAGCAGCAGAGGCGATCGCACACGTTGTCAAAGGTCATTCAAGCGCGCAGCCACCCCAGACGCAGAAGGGGGTCCAGTGGGAGATGGTGGGTGCCACATCACAGGCGACCGCGGGAGTTGCACAGCCAGCGGCAGCCGCCCCGATGCCTTCGGCACCCACGCCTCAAGTTTTGGCAGCGTCAGCAGCGAAGGAAACGGTCGCGACCACAGTGCCGACCCCATGGGTCGACCCTGCCCTCCTGGCCCCCACGCAGAATGCAGGACCGACTCCAGAGTCGCCACGGCTGCCAGGTCCCTCCGCGGAGCAATTCAAGTCGCTCGTCGAACAGTTCGGGAGGGGAAAGGGCAAGGGCAAGCAGGATTCCAAGTGCCAGCCGATGGGGGGGCCAAAGTTTGTTGCAGAGGACGCCGACCCCAATCGCGCAGCCCACATGCACATGCAGCTCCCGCCGTGGTCAACGACGACAAGAGCGAGACCAGCCACTGCAGTCAAGTCGAAATGTGTGGCTGGCACCTGTTCACGGCAGAGGCATCAATACCTTCATTAGAGGCCGCACAACCTATCAGTGCCCCTGCTCCGCTGGGATATAGCGGCAGCAGCAATGCTTTCAGGGAGCTCGATTTCGACATTTCGGACACTTCGAGCAAGTTTCAAGTTGGCGGGGCTATGCCGATAAATGTTGGACACATCACTGCACCTCAGGACATGGTGAATGATTTCTATCAAAGCAGTGGCCGCATCGAGAGCGAGATGCGCTTCTATGTTGGTGCGCGGAACAGTTACACATATCTACGGCCAGTCGCACAAGCCCGTGACGATTGGCTTGCCTGGTGCGCACCTGCAGTCAGATCCAATCTGATGCGTGCATCGATGCTTACATGGGCACAATGCGACGCAGTAGCCAAAGATATGTGCCAAGGTGGGTGGCGCAGTTGGGGAGTGGCGCGCCACGGCTACCAGCAAAGGATCACCGCTCTTTTCCAGCAGGACAGCAACAGATGGGCAGTTCACATGCTAGAGCAGCAAGCACGCCTTAGACGAGCT